CAGAACTGAGTAATCAGTTCTAACCAGCTGGCTTTATTACAGCATTTACAAAACTAGTCATTAGTTAATTAATTTTGTTTCTAAGAAAGAACCATCAAAATAGTATTGGAGGAGACATTACTATTAATTTTATTAATTTACATCACATAAACATTCTAAATAGAGATTGCTAAAGCAACAGATTACAGTATTTGCAATGCTACTACAAAACTATTTAAAATATATTTTTGCTTAAATAATGGAAGAGATATAACCCTCACTACAAAACACACAGACAGATAGGTAGGTGCTAACCACAGCTGGTTTTAACAATAACATTTCTTCAAATACAAACTTTTCTTCAGCACTTATAATTTAACAGTTTGCTCTTTGTGTGTGCTGAAACCAAATTAATTTTAATGAATAAATCAAGGTTTTTTTCCTCTGTAGACAGATACTTGTATTTCCTAAAAGAATTTTTTTTTTTTCCTGCAAGTCAAGTTGTAAAATACTGTGGAGCTCTGGCTAAAGTTCCTTTGTTTCCTCTGAATCTGTTTTTTGAGTACTGCTAAACAATACCAAGCACCTCATTCCTCCAAATGGCAATTTCTTTCACTGTTCAACACATTAACTCCACACCACTGTCCACCTTAAAATACATCATCCATTCTCCAACTTAACACTAACACGGCTGTTATAAAAATCTGAAAAAAATTCTGAACAGTCAACGTGTGAGGACCATAGTGAAAATAATCCCCTGCACAGAGGCTTGTAGATCCTGAATAAATATATACAAATATCCTGCTGCACTGCAGTGCAAGGTGAAATTTCATGACTACTGTGTACTGATCTAAGTGTGTTCTGCTGCTGAGCAGGGTAAGAGCACTCACCCTCAGCATCCAGACACGTGTCTCCACCTGCCTCCCTCTGCCTGCTCTAGAGCTCGTGTAATACCGTGAGTGGGACTAGAAAACTGACCACCTTTTTTGAGTGAGCCCATACTTCAGCTGGCTTAAAATGATCACTCCTTCAGCTTTTTAACAGTGAAGGCAGAGAACTAGGAAATTCTAAACCATCTGAAACCATCTGCATAGCCACAGAATGTGGTTCTCATTAGAGACTCTACAGAAATATGAAGATCTGGCTGCAAGTAGGGTGGGCACGTATAAAAGTAAAAAACAAAGAACTGAAGAAACACTCTTATTACTTAGAATGTTTAAAACAGTGGGAGAGCCAGAGTAAATTTTGTGTAGTCATACATAGGAAACAGGCCAAAAAAGCTTCATAAAAAGAGATTAATGAAAACCTTCTTTCAAAAGAAATATAGTGTTCTAACAGATCAAAGTATGATTCATTCTGTAAGCGACCTGTGCTCCTCTTCTTCTACCTCTACACTTTGCAGGATACTAGACTTATTCCACCTCCACAAGTAAACAGAAAAGAAAAACAACAGAGGGTAAGACACGGTGTGACTCGGGGCTGTGGTGAGAGAAATGCTGCCCCCCAGTGCTCCACACCACCCGCAGCAGCACTACCGTTCCACGGGAAGTGGCAAACAGCAGGAGACGAGGTTGGACATTTGAACGGCAGCTTGCTACAACAGAACTGGCATAATTCCACCCTGCAAACCTCCAGCTACCAGCTGGAAAGCAATAAAAACCTCTACAGATTATTTCACCCATGCCAAAAACCCTTTCTAGATCCCTGAACTGAAGATCAGCCTCATCTTCAGGCTTACCAGAGATCACCTGGCTGTCCCAGCAGGCAGCAAGCTACACAGCGCTTCTCTGATGCACTTCACTGTAAAGTTGTGTACAGAAGCAGGGGAGAATAGCAAGAAAAGGGGAAAGTGGCAGCAACCACAAGCAGGAGGTGGCTGGAGGAGTGCCTGCACATGAGACATTGCTCCCATAACAACCAAAAGTAATGGTTTCCTGTACCCAAGGCTTTGTTGTGTCAGAGCTCTTGCTTTGGCCAAGCGTGGCTGCATTGAGTTCAGCCATCAGGCAAAGCAGGTATCTCAACTAGTGAGAAAAAAATGCCTTTCTAGCACATTTATTTGTATTTTAAAAAAACAAAACAAAACAAAACCACAACTCTACTGATTTAGGGTTGTTTTTAATTTTATTCCTGAACTAGTAAGAAATTAATACCCTTGACATAAAGTAAACCCCTTCTCTCAAATGACTTGTCTGCAAACCATCACCCTCTCTGCCTGGTAATACACGACACAACCACCAAAGCACAGCCAGCAATCATTTTTCTTCAGGTGAACTACAGAAAACAAAGTTCTAGCTCAATTAGGAGCACCTCCTAAAGAAGTAAATGATCCAGATATGCAAGACAGTGGGACTCAAAAGTGCAGTTGGCTTCACCTCTCTGAGCAACCTGTTCCAGTGCTTCACCACTCATTGTAAAAGGTTTCTTCCTCTTATCCAGTTTAAATCTACCCTTTGTTAGTCTAAAACCATTACCTCTTTTTCTGCTAAAAACACTCTCCATCTTTCTCATAGGCTCTCTTTAAGTACAAGGCCACAATAATGTCTCCCTGGCGCCTCCTCTTCTCCAGGCTGAACGAACCCAACTCTCTCAGCCTTTCTTTATAGGAGAGGTGGTTCAGCCCCCTGATTGTTTTTGTGGCCCTCCTCTGGACCTGCTTGAGCAGGTCTATGCCCTTCTTGTGCTGAGGTCTCTAGAGCTGGACACAGTACTCCAGGTGAGGTCTCAACAGAGCACAGGGGCAGAATCACCTCCCCCAACCTGCTGGCCACACTCCTTTTGATAGGGCCCAGGACACAGTTGGTCTTCTGGGCTGTGAGCATACATTGCCAGCTCATGTCCAGCTAGTAAAGCAGCCTGTGTTAAGCTTGAAAAACTTCACTGTCTATGACTCATGAAGATTTGGGTCTCCTGGCTGGCTGACTTACTAGCTTTTAAAAACTTCCTAGCCCTTTTTCTTACTGGTTAACTGCAGAGTACCCTGGAGTAGTGTGTGGGCTACTGCATTTGAATGGAGAATTTGGTCAGTGGAGTCACAGTCTACAAAGGAAAACTCATGAATGTTCCTTTGTTTCCCTCTCTTTGTGCTTACCTTGCAGAACATGAAAAAACATGTTATCTTTAAAACCTTCTTTGCCCTCTGCCCCATTTGGCAGAAACTGAGCTTTTGGTGATACATCAGCTGTTTGCATAAATTCTGTTTCCAAATGAAATCAGTCTAAAAAGAGCAAGAAAGACTTAAAAAAAAAAAAAAAAAAGGAAGTATAGGTAACTTATAAAATTAAAAAATCTCAGTGCATGTGTTGCTTCTCCCTGAGAGAATATGAAAGAAAGAGGAACAAGATGATAAATGATAGCTAGTAACATTTACTTTGGAGCAACAGAGGTTCCTAAGTGTGATGGTGAGTCTGATGTAAGATCATCTGCACAGCAGCTCTTAAAGGCTGGAGAGACTGGATCAGGAGTGAGTACCTGCTACTGCCAGAAATGTTCCAAGAGACGCATGGAATTCCAAATGGAAAAAAACAATACTCGTTATCAATAATAATAAATGTCCCTCCCTCCCAACTTAACTGAGTTTTCTCCCTTTGTTCATAAATTGAGTATGTTGGAACAAAACCAGAAAAAGAAAACAAGAGTAAAGAAAAAGGCCAGATATTTTAAATTGCTCCTCCTATTAATAGCACTTCCTGTTTTCCATTCTGGCCACACTTGTTTCTCCAGCTATTTTGCTTACCCAGCTGTAGGTTGTTAAGATTCTATCTTGCAGCTATTATGTCTCAGAGGAAATACCTGGAGAGGCAATTTAGGTTTGGTTTTTTTTTTCCTATTTAATATGGAAGGGTTTTGTGGCTTTCAGAAAACAGTCAGACTATTTCCAGTCAAAAAGATGCATCAACCTGCAAAAAGAGTAGCTTCACAGAACAGCTGAGGTTGAACCAGCTCCTTCATATGCCTTGAAGTATAGGAAAGCATTTCACACGTATGTTTACACAACATGCTCTTGAAATTACTTTGTTCTGAAGTACACTGAATTTGAGAGGCATCCCTGCCCATACACAACTTACTCCACTGCCAGTCCAATTATTTTGCAAGCAGTGCATTAATGACAGAAATGTTTTTGTTACGCGCTGTGTCCAGTTAATCAAGGTGTCTCCTTGACATGCAAGAAATGTCTCAGTGATACTAAGATGGTTATTTTACTAAATTTACTGTAATTTACTGTTCCTTCCTGTTCCCTTATGTTTTTTTCTTATACAACGGCCTTAGAGATCAGTCAGAAGGCAGAGCTTGCAGAAAACTGTGAAATTCAAACTTTAGTGAGCCAGAGACAGTTATCTATAGCCACAAGCTTCTCTGAGGCATTCTTGGCCTCAGCATGTGCTGCACTGTGTGGCTCACAAAGTGATGCATAAAATGATGTGGTTGCATGCTTATGTGCTTGCATGCTTATGTGCAGTGATTTTTTTTCCAGTCTGTTGTTTTTTATCTGTACAGAATTTCAGGAAATAAAAAGAGTGGGTAACTATGAGTCAACTGGCAAATGTCACAGACTGGACCAGCATACACAAGGTCAAATTCAGTCTGGTATGAAGTATACAGTGCAGGATTCAACTGAGGTCTTAAGAGAAATTTAATCCCTTCTGCTAGGCCTGGCTTCTTCTAGATCATAGTTCTATACTTCAGCACGGAAAGATGAAATTGAAGCATCAACTTTTCTTCACAGAAATACTTGGTGATACTTTTTTCCCCCCACAGAACTCGTTAAAACACTACACATGAAAATAATTTCTTCCCTGATTAGTTATTTTAACACAATCAGAACTATGCTACATACAAAGTTGAAAAATAAAAAGTCAACAGCTGATGAGCTTGGCACGACCAAAAAGTAGGCAGGAAACTGGAAAGGCAGTACAAATGGAGCATGGGGCACATACGTCCACTCGGTGGACACAGCGACCCACATGTCACAGACTGCATCCACTAGCCACGTCTGTGGAGCAAACAAGCCCAGGGCTTACCATCGTATCGGCTGGGGGAATCACAGGCTTTCTGGGGGGTGGCCACTCGCAGGAATATCTGCTGCCTCCACGAATGCCGTCGAGTCCTCACGGGGCTGTCTGCACCAACGGCCTGCTGGCTGTGTTTGGACTCGGAGTCGCTACAATTGCAGAACACAGAATGGCTTGTGAGGAGGCTACCTGAACCGCCCCGCAACAGCGACAGAGTCTGCGGTGGGTACAGCTACGTGCAGAGTGCTGCGCACATGCTGAATCGAGCTCTCAGCGCCAGGTGGGTGAAGCTTGCTCTGGGGCAGCGTGCTTGCAGAAGTCTGCAAACATCTCTTAGGTTCACCAAAAGGGGCTGGCAGCACTGTGCAATCTGCTTTCTCCGGTTTTAAGCAATTTTCAGCTTTCTTTGCAACAGTGTATTAAACACAACACATTAAAGGCACGCATCATAATGCATTTCTACCATTCTGCTGTTTAAGTGCCATCCACAAAATCTAGCAATTATTCACAGAAAACACAAACTGCTGATGCCTTTTATCAGCACACAACAATAAGCTTTATAAACACCAATTACACTTCCAACCTTCCATGAACTGGGTATGCAGTATATTCCTCAACACAGACTTGGAAGCAAAACTTTTAATCTTTGTCTTTGCAAGTCACTATCTGAAATAAGCAACAAACTTGGCAAGTGTCCAGGAACCCTGGATGTTACTCCTTTGATGTAATCAACAAACTACCTACAGAGGTCTTTATTCAGAATATTAAATTAAACAGTGAACAGCAATGCTGTTTTCCTACTAAAAATCCCATGAACAACTTTCACCTGTTACATCTTTATGCATTGTTTTATTCCAACCACTGGCTAAATGGCTGCATGAGTCTTTGCTGAAGCTGAAAGTGATAAATGAGCTTAGCTCTAGATAAATAGCTCTGGAAACAACAGGGAGGAGCATTTTACAGGCCATCCTCTCCTTCCAATTTGAGGACACTAAGATTACTTAGGATGAACCGCATATATTCTCTTAATTGAAAACAGGTAATACAGTCCTTTGGCAGGAATAATCACTGAAGTACACAGATGGAAGTTGCATGACCATTACAACATCAAAATGGCTAAGTTCTGCAGTCTTAATGGGAGTCAGGGATAGCTCCATCCCTTTGACAGCAATCACATGCAGAATACATGCAAGTGAACTGTTGCACAAATCAGGTTTTGCAAGTGCAAGACGCATCAGAAATACTTCAGACAAACAAACCTTTGAAATCACAGTTTTACCTTCAGGCTTTAAGAGAGAACCCTACCTTGTTGTGGTCCTAAAGTCAGAGGTGTTATTTTCATCTACAGGAGCCAGAAATTTTAAGAAATTTGGCACAGAAGAGGAAGAATGAAGCTTTTTCCTTAAGGCAGTGCGGTAGGAGATGCTGAGAGTGCAGTTGGAAAAAGTATAGTTAAGAACAAAGAAGGTTAAATCCACAGAATAAAAATAATACATACTGCTAAGTTTCAAACAAAAAGCAGCTAAATCCTGAAGGCCTGAATTTCAAGGAAGCCAAAGTCAAAAAATCTGAAACTGCTAACAAGTACTACTCTGAAATACATATTTGTCTGGACAAACTAAAATGTTCCAATATAAATAAATATACTTCCAGAAAATATATTATTCTTTGCTATATCCCATGATTTTTAGTGCATGTTTCAAGTAAATGCCTTTGGTTTAATAAGGACTGACACCAATATCAGTTTCAATGATTGACTAAGTTTTGGGGGAAAAGGTTAGGAAAAGCTGGCACTGATAATCATAATGCTGGCAAATGAAAAGCAAGACTTTGGAAAAAATAATTTTGTAAATCATTAACAAGGTTTTATTAAGACAAGCTTAGAACTTTTAAGTTAAAAGTTGAGCCTTCTGACTGATCATTTAGGATTGTGGCTCTGTTTATGCAACAGACAGGAGCACTAATCAAATGTCATCAACACCCTTCTGGTCAACATGATTCTGCTCTTTCTTTTAAAATAACAAGCCCTCAACATACTCAGAAGAAGGTTGGCAGAACGAAGTGAGAACAACTAATAGAATTAAAAGTTTCTGCATGGAATGAAAACATAGAAAGTTACTTGTATGAAGATCCTAGAAGACCTTTTCTCAGAAGTGTAGAGAAAAGCACAAACAGGAGAATTTACTCCTGAAAAACTAGGATTAAGAAAGAACTGCCTCTGATAAACCATAGTGATGCATCTGGATGGCATACTGTACTGTCTCCTGAAGATGTGAATGTGTTGGGGAGATACTCTGGGATAATTACAGTATAGAGTGAAGTTATTCTTCAGTAGCTGGTACTGAGCATGAGGAAGATAAGGCTGTAGCATGGTGTGCCCTGCAAACAGGTTTCACTTACAATCACATTGTAAATCCATCACAACTACACTGTAATTTCACTTGCAGAATACAATCACCTTGGGCACTTTGACTGTACTGATTTAAACTCATTAACCCATTTGCTATCTCTTATCAACTCCCCTTTGCAGTCTTGTTGCTTAGAGGTTCAATATGGTCTGTCCTTAAATGACAGGGAAAGGGAATGAGAAATTGCTTCTGTGTGTGCAGAATCATTACCAAATCTACTTGGAAAAAAATCTACTTTTGATAATTTAACTTTCAAGATTCAAGTAAGTCTTATTAAAATGAAGAGTAAAGAGGACATTGTAGACTCACGTTTCCTCCCCTGACCTATACCATACTTCTGAGGTGAAGCTAAACTAAGGGAGATGCTAGTTAGTACTCAGCAAATACAACTGAAGTAACTGGTGAAACAAGGTTCTCCGAGTATTTTCTCAGGTATTTTCTCACCTTGGGGAAACAGGAAACTTTCATCCAAGAGAACAAGACCAAACAGTAAACAGCAACAGCAATAAAAATTGCTTGCCAACGTCCAGTGACTGTTCACAGCATTTCCAAGGACATTTGGTCTCATGAGCCTTTTGAACTAAAACAGCAGTTTTAGCTCAAAGGGTTAAGAAAGGGCTTCACCTTTAATATTTTTAGGGAGCTACTTGTTTCAGGTTCTTAGGGAATTTATGTATTCACGTCCTTTTCTCAATATTCTCCATATACATTTCTGTTATAGGAAAGGAGGCACGGAAAAATATACTTTGATATTGCTCAAAGTAACCAAGACAAATACACAAGCTGGTGGGTTGGGGTTTTCTGTTTGTTTTTTCTTGGATTTTGGAGGGAGTGAGGGTGTTGTGGTTTTTTTTGTTTGTTTGTTCGTTTGTTTTTCCTGTTTGTTTTGTTTGTGTTTTGTTTGTTTGTTTGTTTGTTTTTGTTTGTGGTTTTTGTTTGGTTGTGGAGTTTTTTATATCAGCTCTCCATTTTTTGCTACTTCTTTCCTCATTTACTTAACTTACTCAATTTGCCTCTAAATTTGTCAGGCTCAAAAGGGTATTAATAAATTTCTGTGTTACCATGAACAAAGCAGAACAAAACTGAATGATTCATGAGGGACAGAGTGAGCTGGATCACAGGTTCTTGGCAATGTATCCCTCACACAATTTAAGCGGCGCTGCTGTCTGCTGCATAACAACAAGTTGCTTTGGAGCAACTGGCTCTGAAGAAAGTCATGTATCCATGTGTCTGAAATAATTTTATTTATTAAAAAAAAAAAATATTGTGCAAGTAGCAGCTCTACATTCAGTAACAGAGCAGTTGAAGAGTTCCTCTCTGATAAAAATCTATCACCTTGGGTCTATACTAAATTATTTTATTTATTTACACTACAGACCTTCATATTTTTGACATGGTAAAACAAACCCTACCCAAAACTACGTACAGGTGCTAGCTCACCTCTTTTGTGCAAAATGCCCACTTTGTTCTCCACTTGAATTATGTCTTAGGTATTTAAAAAAGTTGGGCGAAGAGGCCGAGGAATTAAGACGAGCTAGAGTAGGAGAAGGTGCAAGCTGGCCAGAAGAACTTTTAGGTTCGTCGAGAGATGTGTTCAAACCGTACAGTGGGATTCCAACCAGAGTGATGGAGTTGAGGCAGCACAGAGAACAAAACACAGCAAGACAGGAAAGGAGGAGAAAAAAAAAAAAAAGTGAAATCCCTTTTCTAATCCTTGAAAGGGACCTGGCATATACAAATGAGCCATTTCCTATGTTTTTCCACAGTTACTGCAGTTTCTCTAAGAGGCTGAACATTTTAACCCAAGCAGCAAAGTCCCAAATACACACTTAGAGGCTTCAGCAAGTCATTTTCAGTGTATGACTAAATTTAAACTCCCAAAGCACTTTCACTAATACGCCCCTTTCTTTTCCCTCACATGTGCTTCCTCTTGGTTTCTATGATAAAGTCAGGCATATGATCAGGAGTTCTAATGGATGAGAAGTGAAATGCTACATGAAGAACTGAATTTAGTTAAACTTCGTAAACAAATCATGAACTGAGGTAAGCTGTTCAAAAACACTCATAAAATGTACAAGACTTTTGAAAAGTCCACCATTCCAGTTATTCTTGAGAACTTTAAGTATACTTTTCTTCTAAGTTTTCCAATTCCCCTGGTTCTGTTGATTTCTTTTTGGTTTGACTTATGAGAGGGATCAGGCACACTCAGATCTTACTAAAAATAACATGACCAAACCCAAACAGAAATAACCAAGGAAATAAAAAATACACTTAATTTCTAGTTGCATTCCTATAATAAGATAGAGCTGATTGAACAAGAAGCTCCAAGCACTAGGGCAATTCTCATGAAGATTACAGATGAACAACACAAGTCCTAAACTGCACTACAAAAACATTTATAATTGAAAAGGTTCAAAAAAGGGGCAAAAAGGCAACCCGAGCGGGCTATGTTTCCTTTCAAATACTACAATTATCTTTTTTTTTTCCACTGTCATCACTTATGTCAGGCATGTTTGTTTACTGCCTTGCCTCCTGCAGGGAAAAACTAGCTGGAACTTATTACAGATTTTCTACTGTCTAACTTGTATAAAAAAGACATTTTGGTAATAAAACTAGAAGCCTACAGACAGAAATGTTTTCACAGTAATTGGAAAACTCCAGATAGAAAGAGGGGGGAAAAAATGCCATAAAGTTAAGTGGAGATTTCAGAGATGTAAAGGCAGGCTTTTGAGGGAGGACAGCTTGAAGAATACTAGCACAAAGGCAAGCAGTAACTTGGTTTTGCATATAAAATCTACATAGGCTCATTGAAAAGCTAGACAGGAGCCTCACCTCTAGCAACAATTAGGCAACTATAAATGTCTAATTGCCAGTTTTGTATGTCATTTTAAAGTCACAATGAATTGAACAATTAGTAAGGTTTTCTGCATAAATGCTACTGAATTTTTCTCTATAAATAGGCAACAAGAGGTAGCATTTATTTATACTGCTCACAGATCAAAACAACAAAAATGAATTCATACTGCTTGCAAAAATAGAACCGAACCCCTTAGGAGCAATCCTGTGCTGTGTTTACACTTCATTTTGTGACATATACTGTGGAACTAATGTATCTCATATTTTCTCTCCCCTGTGGAAAGCACAGTGCTAAAAGTGTTTTTAAACAGAGTACCTACAAACCTCTGAAGAGTGACACACTGCTGCAGTACATTTCTTATCCATTAAGAGGCCATACCTGGTATGCAATTATCATCCCCACATATGCCCTCAACAAATGAAATCATAGCCTGCTCCTAATAAGTCTTACTTTCTTTTGTGAGGAGTCTCTGTGCTCACTGAGTGGTACCTCATAAGTTTCCTCTGGGGAACTGATGGCGATGTTTCAACAGGTACCAGAGACTCCTGGCTTTCTGTTGGCAAATGACTCAGTGTGTTTGCTCGCCTCCGAAAGCTCTGCTGAGGTAAGGTAACAGATTGCTCCACGGGAGAGCTGTCTGTGTCGCTGGAGAGGTCACCCACTGATCCACTGGTCTTCACAGCGCCTTCTGAAGGAAGTGCAGGAACCCTGTCTTTCTCCTTTTCACACAGTGGTGGTTCCTAGCAGTGAGAAAAAGGTTATCAATAGATGGTGTGGAATCAGTCTTTGGCGATGCAGTCCATGTCATTATTCACATCCCACAGAGACCTGCTTCAAACTTGCACACTTTTATCACGATAGCTCAAAGAATCAATCTTTGATGGTTGACATGACCATCTATGGTAGGTGCCTTGGCACCAGGGCAGCACCAACAGCTGTACCCAACTCTGCAGAGCGCCAGGCTGCCTCCAGGAAAGACGATGACAGGCTTCTCCTGTGCTCTTGGTTTACACTGGTTTGTTCAGGCTAAAAGCTTTCTATCCATGCAAAGTGAAAGTACTCCTTTTCTTTTAGTTTTATGTTTCTTATGACTGCAATCCTGCATTCACTTTCAGGGCTGAAATCAACCAATTAGGATCAGCAGCATAGGAATTATTGTACTTGTTTTGCTGCACATTTTTTGCAAGATTCAGATGTTATATAATACTTTATGTCCCATATATATATTCTCACAATAAGACATACACATACAAAATACATGTTTATATGCAGTACAAGGCATTTCTAATTCAAGTGAAGACCCACTTGCACTGCTCTTTTTTATAGGATGGGGAACAGAATGAAAGACCTGAACGCAGCTTGAAAATTCTGGAGAAGAGAAGGACATATTTACCATGAGCCAGCCCCACATGCTACATATATGAAAAATTATTTTGGTAACCAACTAGCAAATTCTAAAAAGCTTAAATATTACTTCAAGTGGGCGAAGAAAAACAACCATCCAACCAAACAACCCCAGAAAGGCAGTGGCTGATCCAAGAGGCTGCCTGCAACAAATGCAGTCCTGTCACCCTCAGAGGGACTCAGCACAGGAATAAAGATACAATCTGTGGATCAGGAAATTGCAGCAGGATTCTTACAGGTAGGGAGAAAAGGACGTTATCTACACACCCTACTCTGTGATACTGTTTTTGTCACATGGGTTGGCTGTTCTTGGGTTTATTTCCTCTCGCACACAATCAGTTAGCTTGTTCGCTTCCAAAAAAATAATCAAAACAAAATGCAAAATGTTAAAACAGAACAGTTATATGAGCAGTTGGTAATCACGCTTCACATCTGATTAGTTGCTTCAGGGAATGTGATCTGAAATTTCTAAACACATACATTCACCTCAGGCTTCACTTACTTTACTTGTGCTGCTCAAGGTACTGGACATGGAGCTGTCCAAATCCACAGCACCAGAACTGTCCAGTGGCCCTCGGGCTTTACTGCCCTGCAGAGATAAAGCACACCAGCACTTAAGATTATGATATACAGGACATACCAAAAAGAGATGTGTGTAGTAGAGTCAGGATCTGTAACTTTCAAAGACAGTATCTAAATTGAATTTCCTGAGATGCCTAAGAGCAGCCTTTGCCCCGTGAGAAACAGAAGCTTCATTCAGGACTGTCACAGACACTTTATAGGATCCTATGGAATTAAGGAATTCTCATGGGCAATGACAACCTCTCCATTATATGTACATAATCACATATTGCACATACGTACTATAACTAAAGTAGCTTCTGTATTCCAAATAGGAAATTTTCACACTACGTACTTCTTACCAAGACAGAAAGAAACAAAAAGGTTGTTTATTACAAAGGACTTAAACCGGCATAAATTTAATACACAGCAAAATATAATTTCTGGAATTCACAGAATCACAGAATGTTAGGGGTGGAAAGGGACCTCTGGAGATCATCAAGTCCAACCCCCCTGTCAGAGAAAGAATTATTATTTCAATGCCTACGATAAAAAGAAAGCACCAATATTTTTGTATAATTTGTTACACTGATGTTTTTATGTAACCAAGAGAAATATCAAGAAAACTACTTATGGATTCCTATATGCCAACAAAGTTCTGGAACTTGTATCTTCCTGACCTTAAATGGTATCATTCTTTTATGCTTTCTACATTTTATTCCAAGTAAATTTTAAAACATTATCATTATTCACAATAGTGACTATTCTCTTCTTGAAGCTCAGACAAAACATCTTGCCTCAGACCTGATCAAAAAAAAGAATTTCCATCAAAACAGCCATTTTAATGAAAATGCAACCAATATATAGCTGTGCTTACATAAAACAGCTCATGCCAGTCAGAACAAACTGGCAAAAATTAGAACAGTAACTACTATAGTTAGTGTAACAACACGACATACTTCACATCCCCAACACACCCACATCAGGATTTTATGAGGGTGAACTCTAGAACAGCTGGCTGGGAAGGAGGGGAGATACTCAGCTAAAAATCCTCTCTATATGCATAATTATAACAGAGAGAACATGTTTTTGCTGTTATTTACTTCATGGGAACATGTTAGATACAATGTCTGAAATAAGCTTTGATAGCCTAGTTTTGTCATTGCAAGTTGCATCTCTATGACCCAATAAACTGTACTAGATCTTGCTGCAGTTTAACTGTTTGCTGATGAGAAGTAAGAATGCCCAGTTTCTGTTCCTTAATATTTGTTGTTTGGCATTCTGTCACAACTAGAGAAAAGGTCTGACATTTTAATCCTTTGTCAAACAAAGTCTTTCTGAATCTCTTATTATTTACCTCTGACTTTTTCCACGAGGTGCAAAACAAAGAATATTTCAAGGAGAAGACACTCTGTAGTTTAAGTAGTGCTTAAACTTGACATCTGATTTTTCTTAACCGCTGCTGTATGCTTTTAGCAGATACTCTCAGCCACTTGTTCATTTTAAAACATTTTCCCAACATGTCTTCTTGGGGATCATTACCACACAGGAGCTCAAGTTTTTCCTACTATTAGGTATTGCCAGACACTGTTTACAAAGAATTTTACCTGGTAAGATATTGCAATAAATACTCTCTCATTAGGAATGCTTAGTCATGGAATCATAGAATGATTTGACCTTTAAAGGTCACCTAGTCCAACACTCCTGCAATGAGCTGGAAAACTCCCTAATAATATCCACTTTTTATTAGTCCACTCCCTAATAATTTCCTTCCACATAAAGAGATGTGAACAATTATAATTACTTTTTTAATTTTTCTAAATCCAAAAGAGAAATAAAACAATTGCTTTTCATAAGGTATCATGCTTAACTTCATATTAATTTTTGTAAATGCCTATATACGCTACTTCTTATCTAGCAATTAGTTCTCTTCTTCCAGGACTTGGTATTCTCTCTGTCAAAGCCCTGCTTTGTTTTGTCGTCTTCTAACATGTAGACGCAAATATTTTTGTCCACGGACCTTTAGTAGCCGCTTGGCTACAGTGTGGAAGGATAAGAAATATGACTTTTCTATCTATCAAATAAACAAAACAATGAGATTAAGTGCAGAGGCCATAAACATGAAGCTACTCACACGTGATAGAATACTTTCAAACGATTCTGTCAGAGATCTTTTTGCTTTGTTCTTTAACATATCCAGCCTGAACCTCGGGGCACTGCTGGGCACCTCACTGACAGCGTTCTCAGCAGCGGGCTGGGAAGCCTGCAAGGGTTTAAAACCATGAATGTGAAATACTCAACAGCATGGAGCAGAACCTCAGCGATCAATCTGAAAAATTCTGTAGCCTGAGCCAATACTTTCTCCTGGCACCCTTGACTTCTCATGCCTTTCTCTCCGCTGATACTTACACTGAAGACTAACAGACTATCCCAACATAAGACCCAGAACTCTCTTACAGGAAATGCGTTGAGTGCAGTAGTGTGCTTCAGGAGAATTGCCATTTTCATACAGATTTATGACTGCGTTGGCAAATTTTCTTTAAAGCCAAAATACAATTGTAAAAATTCTAAATGTTTAGATGTAACAGATTAGAGATTTCTGATAGATTTACTTTTCTTTAGTCAAGAAATGAATCAAAACTGATGAAGCTCATAATTAACAGGACTTCTCATGTGTCTATATTGTATTAAAATGGGGCTTTCTAAGGGCCCAGAAGATGTATAACAATCAAACTCCTCTATGTATTTCACCAGCAGAAACATCTCTGCCTTAAAGCTAACGGTCTATTGAGAATTTTGCTTTTTAAATAAATACTGCAGCCCATTTCCAGTGCTTGCAAAGACCAGCATAGCGAACAAAAAAATAACACTACCATGCAAATATTACCATCCAAATCTAATACCTGCAGCAGAGCACAGTTTTCAGTGTTATTTTTAGGAGTTCATCTCAAGGCTGTCAGGCACTGTAGCCCTCTCTACCTGGCCCTAATTCGAGAGATATGAATATTTGATCTATGTAACTGTTAGCATGTGGGCAGCTAAACAGCACATCGTTATAACCACTGAACAGTCCTGCTCTAGATATGGTTTTAAAACATCATATTTCTAGTAAGATGAAGTTACAGGCTTCTGTATTTTCTTTTTACATTCACTCATCTTATCATCAAAGAGCAAACCAGATGCTGCCTGCTATTACATTCTAATGAAAAGACACTTATTTTGAAGGTCACTTTTGTTAAGAAAGATACACATACTAGTATCACTTTTTTTTATCTCCCTCAATTTATTTATTTTTTTTTTAAAAAGTGATGAAAAGCATGAAAGTGAATATCTAAGCAGAAAAGAAGGGAACAGGGACATAAGGATGTCATGGGTTAATGATTGCTGAGACAAGTAACAGTGCCAGAGGACATGTTCAAAGGTATCTGCTATTACACAGCTCTGGAGATAAATTATCAGAGTAAATACAAAATGTTATGCTAAGACAAATGATGGGCTGAGGGCAAGTCAACACTGTTATTAGAGCACTTGCCTTTGCAAGTGTCAGATTAACCAATGCTGGTTCCAGGAACTGAGCAGACTGCAGCAGGCCTTAGGAATTTTCAAATCACACTGAACACCTATTAAGATATTATATTAAGATATTGCTTCGTATATCCCTATTTCATGACTGACAACTATTTGATCACCAGTTGGCATTAGACCGAATAAAAATATTTCGGGTATGATGATAGAGGACCTCAGGCAATGTTTCTCCCTATCGTGCCATAACTACAATGCTTTCTTTGTTAAAAACACATTTCTGGTGAGATGCCCAAGACAAGAAATCAGAGAATGAAATATGCAAAGTTTTCTTCCTGCTTTCTCAGGGAGGTCAATAATTAGCCAGTAAGCCAGAAAAGAAGATATTAACAAAGTAAATTAATAGTAAATGAATACTTGCTGCTATTTCCCCAAATTCTTCACGGGTCTGATACTCTCCACGTGTGCATTTACTAGTTTATATCACAAATGGCCAACAGCAGTCATCACAATGGAATTACTGGCCCACAGTGGTGAGGCAGCCAAGATTTTTAAAAGCATCAAGTAATTTGAACTGAAAGTTGCCAGAGAATGGGTGCTGATCTTCTTTTAAATATGGACCTCTTTGAGGTGTCTCAAGTTAGTTAGTCACAAACCAAGGTATCCAAAATCATTAATCCCTTTAGAAAAATCTTAACTGTGCTGTATAACCAGATAAACAGCGCTGATGCAACCTCATAGGGAATGGAAGGTAGCTCAGCTCTTTGGAAATGGACT